AGCCCTGAGGGTGGGTGGCGGCCCCCCCGGGCGCCCCCGGTCTGTATTCCCGCCGCAGAGCCAGGGCGGCCGCAGCCCGTAACGCCGCGGGTGCGCTTCGCCGGGGGCCACCGCGCTGTTTTCCTCCGAGCAGCACAAACAGGCCCCTCCCCGAGGGGAGAAAGCGCCAAGAGCTCGGGCAGGATTTGCCCCTGCGATAATAAAAGGCGGCTGGGCCCAACCGGAGGCTCGCCCAGGCACGTTTCTGGTTAATTTTTGCATCCGCGCTTTATCGGTTCGCTTCACCCCCTAATCACGGTCGGTGAGCCCCACGGCCTCCTGCAGCGGCAGGCTGCCGTGCGGCGTTTTATTTAAGCCCTTCTGCTCGTTAATCTTTTCCTGGAGGGCGCCGATGTTTTGCACGGAGGCTGAGGCCGCTGGGTTTGGGCGTGAGCGTATTCCCCCTGCCCTGCCTTCCCTTCTCCCCTGCCTGTCAGGCAGGGCAGCCGCCCGAGGAGCCGGGAGTGTGAGTGGCAGAGCCCAGCTGTGGATGGGAATGAAAAACATCCTGTTTGTTTGTGTAAACAGTGAGTCAGTTTTACTGGCAAAAACGCTCTCAGCCAGCAGCTTTCCCAGCAAGAAAGGTCAAAACTGGCCGCGTAAAGAGTTAAAACATTGGTTGCAGATGAAATAGGAAGGGACAGACTCTGAAGTCAGAGAAGGGAAAGTATGTGACCATACAGCTTTGAAGTCACTCTGAGGAGGCCGCTTACGTTCTGCTCCTGCATCCATATGATTATCAGAAGCGTACATGGTAGCTGCGTACATAAATGGTTTTGGACTCCTTTACCAGCTGGAAAGGTCTGAATGCAGAGCCCTGAAGTTAGTGGGAGGGGGAGAGGCATGCCATGAGACAGCAGGGCTGGTAGACAATGATGGCTAAGGGACTGTGCGTAAAAAGGCCAAAAGGAACAAAGAGTGCCCGGAATATGGGACAGCAGAGAGAGATTTAAATATCACGGAGGGGGAGGGATTATTTATGGTCCCATGGAGGATTCAGCCGGTATCCTTCAACTGCAATCCATAAATGAGGCGGAATAGGAGGAAATTCTTCCAGAGCTGATGTGTTAAGCTACAGAATTATTGTCCCATGAGAATGGATAAAAACATTGTTGTTTAGGTCATTACAGGTCCTGTAAGCCCTTGGAAAGCGTGCGGCTTTCGTTCTGTGCTGCCCAATGAGACAGATCTCTCTTCCAAGTCCTCTGCCTCTGACTGTGGCTCGGTGGGGAGCACAGCCCTTCCCTGCACTGCACGGCGAGATGCTCTCTGACTCTGATCAGTTTGGTTCATTTGAGATTAGTTATTGGCAAATATCTGCTGAAGAGGAGCAAGGTGAAATAGCGGAGCGGCTCTTCCTTTCTGGAGAGGAGTTTTCATTAAAGGAGAGAGGGTGGATGCATTTTCCCAGCAGTTGTTTCTGGAGAGACTTAAAAAGAGCTCCTCTGAGCTGGAGGGCAGTGCTGAGGCTCTTGTTTGGAGGAAAGGAGGAAGGCAGACAGCCGCTGCTGGCACAAGCGCCACCCTGGGACCTTTGCTGTTGAATCTATATGGAGTGGGGAGATAAACTCTTTGATGGTGGGATTGCGCGTCTGTGTGTGAGTAGTATTGTGTGAGCTGGTGTTTGGCTCAAGCCAATGTGTTGTTGAGGGACATGAAAGGTTTTGCGATAGAGTCAAGTGAGCAACCAAACCATTTAAGTGCTAGGCCCTGATTAAACGGGGAGAGGCTGGTGATAGAAATATGGGAATCTAGAAGCAGGTGCAGAATGCGTTTTGGTGCTACTTGTGGGTGGTGCTGGACCTTGTGATGACAAATAGTATGTAAGTTTTCAGCAAACAGGCTGATTCTCAACCAGTCTTCTGCTACAGCAATCTGTATTTATGTTGTCTAGAGCCTCCACCTTGAGGATTCAGAGGGACTTGTACTCGTACAAGGGAGCATTAGCCTTGTTTTACAACCGAAGGAGTTGCTCAGGAGCAGGGGAGGAGGGCGCTGGGAGATGGCAGGTAGTCAGCTGCCTGGTGGTGGGCAAAGGCGCCATTTGAGAACGTGCTGTGGCGGGGGTGGGCGTCTGCAGAGTACAATGCTTGCTGCAGTGGCCGGTAGCAGTCGGATGTTTCTGCTCTGCCGTACACTGAGCTGTATCTGTTTGCTCATCTAGAGCAGTAACTTACTGCCTTTTTCCTGCATAACAATTTCTCCTTTGATTTCTAGGTTGTTTTCCTCCACCTCCCTGAGACCCCTCTTTCTCCTCAGCATGTCCCTTCTTGGCATCCTCTTGCTGGAGAGGTGGAAGCCCAGGTTCCTGTTTGATTTCTCAGGTATGTGATGAGTAGCACTGTAGCCAGTGACACAGTTGTAGTGTTACCAGCTGCTGGGCTCCGGCCACAGCCGGTCCTTGCCTGGCTCTCTCGTAGGTCATGTAAGCCTTGCTCCTACTATAACCACAGGCTTTGGTGTTGGTGCTGCATCTTTCCTATTTGTGTCAGAGTACATATCAGAGGATGTGTCCTAATACTCTGGGCATGGGGAGAATTGCTCCCAGTGCTGAGAAGTTCTGGGAGTAGCTCATTTTGAGAGTGACTAGGGGGGCCCAGCTAGCTTGTCAGGGAAGCTAGTGACAGGGATGATGCAGTGTTTCTGCTCTGTCCTTCCTCTCCTGCAAATGTCATGGTGAAAAGATCCTTCCCAGGTCTGAGCATATATGGCCAGCTGAGCTGGGGGAAGGAAACGGGGGGGGCTGAAGTGTACCGGTTTTAGTTAAGTGCAACATGGGCTTGTGCCCTGAAAGAGGCAGAGCAGATGAGAGCCACTTCTCCTTGCGGCAGGTAGCAGAGTGGATGATGAGGTCTGACAGCAGGGACAGTTAGTGTATTGTACCTGTACTGAGCAGCATCTGGTTTCCAGCTAATCGGTGAGTCTGATCACTTGGCTTATCTTTCCCATTTACTGAAGGGTCTTTGCCAACATTAGACACAAAAGCAACAAGAGGAATAGCCTCATAACGATGATAGGCATGGATTGGCTGCTGTCTGCTTTGAGTGCCTCCTTCATTGGAGTTTATTAAATGACTGGACCCAGACCTGCCTCCTGCATCTACTGCTGCTGTTCAAAGGCAGCTTGGGGCCCTCCATCCCTGCCCCCCTACTCTAGGGAGGCTTTCTGAATGAAAGCCCCTCTATATGTGTGTTTGTAAGGTGCCCTTTATTTGACCTAAAAGGGTACTGACTTAAAGGGTGCTTTCACAGAAGGCCTGATAAGATTAGATATGTTTCAGCTGTAGTCTTGAAACTGTTTGCTTTGTGTGGTTCAGGTAACTAGGCAGCTGAACTGGACTGGCCAATTTAATTTCCTGCTTATTCACATAGTTTTTTTAAGGGAATAGTTTAAAGCCAACCCAAAACATCTCACTTGAAACATGTCCAGAAATGCAAAAGCCTCGTGTCCAGTACAGAATGGTGTCATTGACGCAGGTGGGGGTAGAAGCGCTCCAGCAAGTACCAGGCCTGTAAAAGTTATGTTATCACAGAAGAAATAGGAAATCCCTACTGATATTAATTTATATGATGCAGAGCAGTGAGAAATAAAAAAAAAAACAAGCCAAAAACCAAAACAACACACCAGGGGTTAGATTGATCCTGTGTCATCAGCTCTGCAAGAAGTCAGTGCACATCCTACTGAGCCACTCCTCGGTGGTGTTCTTCCCCATATTTCACTCCTTGCTGCTTCTCTGCTGCTGACAGCAAAGAACAGGGACACCTTTCTGATGTGCCTGGTTAGGTCACAGCCCTGATTTCGACATGGTCCATTGGACCGTGTTTCCTCAGCCTCTGCGAGGAAGGAGTGGTGCTCTGCGTTCCTGAGGGGCCTCCTGTTGAACTGGCACTGCTGAATACTTCGCGCTGAAGCAGAGCTACAGCTCTGTGGCTTTCCTCCTCAGTGCTTCCTGTAAGCCTTTCCTGGGGATTTTGGAAGTAGGTCAGTACCACACCTTCAAGAGTCGGCACGTATATACACAAACCTCAGCTTGTGGCAGTTCTGTATGTCTCGGGTGACTGCTTATAACATCACTTCTGAAGGAATGCTAAAACCTCAGCGTGTATTTTGCAGTTACTCACACACTGTGATCAGGGATGCGCTAACATCAGTGAGATGCACAACCTTTTTAGGTCCTGTCAGAAGGGACTGCGTATTTTCAGCTCCCACGCAGGGTATTCTCTCCATATGTAACCACCTCTACGTAGGATTCCACTTAAATATTATTTAAGGACTTAGGAGGCACCCCCACTTTTTCCTGAAATGAGTATCAAGTAGGGATGTTTTCTGTACCGTTGTTTGGCAACGTGTGTTTTGGTCAGTGTAGGGGAGTGTAGCATGGAAGAGCTTTAGCAAAGCCTGCATTGCAGTTGAATGCCGATACTCCTTAAAAAGGACCCCTGCTTTCTAGCTAAAGTTTACGCACAGATGAAGAATGCCTCTTGGGGAAGCACTGAAAACCTGTAAGAGCCAAGGAATCCATCAAAGATAATTTGTCAGTACCAACATGTAACCTAAATCTTTTGCGGCTGACTGGTCTCCCAGAAGAGTCTGGTGTATGTCAAGTGGTTTGTATTAATCCACAATCCAGTGTGAAATGGCGACGGCAAGATTTCAGCTGGTTATTGATGATCTGAGGCTGGCTGTGGGTGTCCTGCTTGCTGGCTTAGTTGTACCAGTGCTAGACGGTATTCCAGCACAGGTTGGAGTTAAGCCTTACCTAAGTGAACGTTTCCTGTCAGAAATGCTCTAGGTTTTTTGTGGTTGGGCTGTTCCTCCAACTGGTGTAAGACTCCAGTGCTTTGGGATGGACAGCAGGCAGGCTACTCTACTACAGGAAGCAAGATACTGTTGATTTTAATGACAGCTTGTGTTTTGCCAGATAGTTGAAATCACGTGAACACTCTGCAGCCTGCTGAAATGTTCTGCAGCTCCCCAAAGTGTCTCTGAAACCTTCAGAAGCAACCGAGGAGAATTGTTTCACTCCCTCTGCTGGCATATTTTGGATGGCTTGGATTACTGCAGCCAGTTGGAGAGGAGAGGGGTTCCTGTGCCATCCCGCTTATGGTGTTGCTGGCACATCTGTCCCCCAGAGTACGGCGAGCATCCCAGCTCGAGCAAACCATCATCTGGTAGCTGGTACAACCAGTATAGCCAGCTGTCATGGAGGGGCCAGTGCCAAATGTAATTTATTTGGTGATTTAGTGCAGGTAATAGATGAAGCTTTGAGATATAGCTGGATGTCTGCATGCTGCGATTAAGCAGCTTTAGATTCCTGAGCACAATAACAAAATACAGCAACGGCGGTTGTGCGAGAGAAGCAACCGCCCCGTGCTGGGTGGAGCTGCATCCATAATATTAACTTCGCACCCCGAGCTCCCTTCGTGAGCAGTGCTTGCCAGGTGCTGTGCCGAACGGAGAGCAGTTGACTCCTCTTGTCAGGCCCGATTACTGGAAATCTGGGTCACGCTCTCAAAGAATCGCCTCCTCCCCTGGGCGGATGACCTCCCGCTCCGCTCTGCTGCGCCGCGCAAGCCGGCTGCTGCGGTGCCTGCGGCGGTAGGAGGGGTCTGACATACTTGGCCCAACGTCCTGCGTCTTGGGAGAACGGTGGCAAGGCTGCTGCCAGCGGTTGCTCTCTTCTGTGGCTGGAACTGGAGTCTGAAGCCTCACTGGGTGTTGGCAGTGACGGATGTTCACCTCGTCTCTGCCTT